CGGTGGTGGTGAACAGACTGTCCCACTGCGTGATGGTTAACTAGCTAATCAACCAGGTTTGTTCAGCACTCGGAGCTGCAACCTCGCGGGGAACCAGTTTACCCAGAGCTGCTGTGGAGACACACCAGCTCCTCTGCACAGAGCTATCGTAGCTAAACTTGTCGTTTCATCTTTTTATCCCCCCTGACTCCCCATGTTTACATGCTTCTACTGTTTTGAATGGAGACGCAGTCCTGCTGGCGTCAGTTTTGTGGTTTTAGACTAAGTTCATTATCAGCTGTTTGCTTTGTTCTCCCATCAGATGAAGGATTTCAGACGGGCGGATGCCTGCTCGCCTATTCTGTTTGTGGTACGTCTGCTCATTAGGATCAGCTGAGGGGCCCAGGTGATGGGATTAAGGTTCGGTAACTATAGTAACACCTTTGGAAATGGATTCTCCTCCATCCACTAGAGAAGGTTGAAAAGAGGTGTGCGGGTCACGAGCGTTTGCTGTGAATCGTGGCGGCTCCACACGTTGACGTTGAGGCTTTCAGGTGTGCACAGTAAGGTCGCTGCTCGTCTGCTCTTTCCTGTTAGCTGGACCCTGAGCTGACTTCATTAGTGAAGCAGTGGGCTGAGTTAGTTTAAGTTCTGCTTCGACTGCTTGGAGGCTGTTTGTAAGTTTGACGTCGTGTCTTTAGGTGTTTAAAGCCGTTCTGCAGTTTTAGTCTCATACGCTGTAATAAGGATGTTTTGTTGGTGTGAAGGGAAACCCTTTAATTAAAGATACACTGCGTGCTACTTTATGCCGTTACACATCCACGTCACCTCACGTCACATGGTGCCCTGTGTGTCGGTCTGCACTGGTGTGTGGTTCGTGGGGCTGATATGCAACACGTCTGTGCAGTCCAACAGGGAAGCAACAGTGTGGGCGGAGCCTGAGGCAGGCGTGCAGGTCACATGGTTGAAACGATGTAAAGAACAGTGAGCTCTGTTTGTTATGAAGGACCAGCCACGGGTGCAGCCCCACACTGGGCCACGTTTTTGACTCAAACAGCTAAAACATCTCACGCAGATGTTTAGATTTTTAAAACACAAGTGGCATTCATCAGTTTTAGGCATTCGTTGTTTCTTTTAGCGTTTCATAAACCATGCTGTCGGGTTTCACCCTCTTGGATGGGTAATTAATTTAAAGGTAAGAGTAACAGTGTCCTGGGACAGGTGCAGGCCTGCTTCAGACGAAGGTCACGTGTGTGCCGTGTGTCATCGTGCTGAGACGAGTCGTCGCGTGTGCCAGAAGCTCTGGTTGGATGAAATGTTAAAACTGGGGAAGATGTATTTATGGAGGAAGAATGGCTCGAGCTTTTTTCTGTGTTGCACTTTATGAATATTGTATGATGTACAAATCAATATGTCTCCGATTAAATGCATTACACCCACCTGAGGTTTGTGCTTCGTCTGTTAGGAGCATCACGTGGAACTGAAGGTCACGTTTGTGATGTCACCTTTACATAGAAGCAACAAACGTGCTAAATGTCATCATATATGTTTCTTTGAGCAAGTATTTTGTTACATTGTACCTCCTTTTTAAACAGGAAGTGACCTCTGACAGGCGGGTTGGAGGACAGCAGAGTTTGGATCTCACGTCCATCACAGGCTGTCGAAGCACGATTAGGTGGAGGAGGAACAGTGCTGCTAGTAGCATCAAATACTATTCTGGGATTTTTCTGATTATGATTTTTTTATTGTTGAAATAAGATCTTGACTTTCACTGCCTCATAAAAGTGGGAAAGTTCTCCATGGACGGCCAAACCTGAGTCTGCTACATCGATTATTTAACCAGGGGAGCCAGAAGCAGCAGATGATCTATAAAGGCAGTGCTGACTGAAAGCATCAGCGTCCTCATCAGGTAGATGATGGAGAAGAGAGTGTCCTGCAGTGAGTCGTGCCACATACGTGTTAAACAAACCTGTTAATGAATCATTGACATGAGTTAAAGTCTCTGACTGATGATCCTGGAGTCAAAGATGCACAAAGCTGAGGCTTTATTCGAACAACAGACCTGAGCTTTCCCAATTTTAGGAATGATCCTCTTCTTCCTTTTATGCAGCCACATGATGCACACACTGTTCTGAAAACTGGGAGATTTTGTCCTCACGCTGCCACGTTTCACTGATAAACAGAACAGGTCATTTCAAATAAACAAATTGTTCATTAGACACTGAAACAGACTCCGCGTGGGCACACCCACTCCGGCCTGAGTGGAAATGGTAAGTGGACTGCACTGTTATCTCTGCTCAAGCAGCTTCTTTCACACCACAACACGCACTGTGACGGATACACTGGAGGCAGCTGTGGGTTCAGGAGCCTTTGGCAGACTGGAGGAGTCACAGACCACTGACCAACCCCACCACAGTGGGTGCCCATACGTACCCACTGTGGGCAAGCGTGGGCCAGGAAACGTGTGTGTGAAGAAAATGAAGCCACAGAACATGTTTTCTTCACATTGAACTCAACAACTGAATCAGACCATGTTTACTGGCAGAGTCAAAGGTTTTAACAGGATCTGTTTGCGTGGCTGAACGACGTGATGATGTAATGATTTACACATTATTAACAAATTAAAGATGAGAGGAAACACGGATCCCTTCAGCTTTGTCAGGAAAGGCAAACCCGATCTGAATAAGGGAGCAACCGAAACCCTGTAGAAAGAGTATTTACTGCGCTTAAAGCCACATTTACAGAAACCAGCTGAAGTGAGCGACGCCAGTTCCGCCAAAGCCAGAATCGCACATTTATTATGACCCAGTGATCACAGGAAGTTTAACTAACAGGGACGAAGACATGGATACGAAGCCAAAGGTGAACAGTAACGTCAGGCTGACGAGGAGCACTTCCTCTCACAGAGTCAGCGAATGAAAACACAGGAAGTGACCTGTGGGTCATATTCCGGACTGCGGTCACGCAGGAACTTCCCAGCTCCTGCGATAAAAAAGAGGAAGCCGGGATAACAGCTACGTAAAGAGTGCAGCCAGCTGTTACAGGAAGTGTTTACGTGCGGGTCAGCGGCGTCATCAATCATTAGCCAGCCGAGGCTCAGGTGCAGCAGGAATGAGCACACAGACACGGGCTGCTTCGTAACAGAGACCCACGGCGGCCAGGTACGTGCCGAGCCCGGTGCTGTCACGGGCAGGAGGGGAGACACGGGGCGGCTGTTTGTGTCTCCGCTTATGTTATGTAGCATAGCATAGGCGTGTCGTCCACAGCTCCGAGTTTAAGGGTGGACGTTTTCACGGACAGTTAGAGACACGCGTGCAAACCTGTCACAGCAACGTTTTAATGAACGCGTTTAAACACGTCTGTGTCAGCCTGAGGACACGGCGCTGCACTCCTTTATTCACGAGCGAAAAACTACTAATGACGCAGTCACACGTCCACGTGACCCACTCTGACTCACGTGACCCACTCTCACGTCTTTTTTCAGGCCTGAGCCTTCCGGGCACATCCACATCACTGTCCATCTTCCACAACATGAATATTTTTTCCTTATAACTCAGAAAATGATTTGAAACTGTTGGATTTCAGCTGCTACAGGAGTGTCAGAGATGAGGACTGTTTTTCCCATCGCTCCTGATTTGTTCTGGAAAATCTGCCAGCTGTACCCAACGCACCCACTACAGGGGTGTCGAACTCCAGGCCTCGAGGGCCGGTGTCCTGCAGGTTTTAGATCTCACCCTGGGTCAACACGCCTGAATCACATGATTAGTTCATTACCAGGCCTCTGGAGAACTTCAAGACATGTTGAGGAGCTAATCTAGCCATTTAAATCAGCTGTGCTGGATCAAGGACACGTCTAAAACCTGCAGGACAGCGGCCCTCGAGGCCTGGAGTTGGACACCTGTGCACTACATGAACAAAAGAGAAATTAAATCACATCAGTGCACAGATCTCCTGTGGATGTAGGCGTCCTCACATCCGTCTGTCTCTGCATGTAATCGCAGACACACTCGATGATGTTGAGGTCAGGGCTCTGTGGGGCCACACCATCACTTCAGTACTCGTTCTTCTTGACT